GGGGATTGTAAAGTAGTTGTAGAGTTGAGATACTATGGAGACTTCCATGGGGAAGCCAAGCTTCTTGCGGAATATCATGGTTCGTGTACTTCTCTTTGGCGTTCTGATTATTGTTGTTCGATTTGCTTATGTTGTTACCATTACCGGAGAATCATGCAATCGCGGCGATTTCTGCTTCTTCTCTCTCCCTGAGAATCTTAACTTCGTCATCTCCGGTGCTGGCTCCGGCGCTTCTGCTATTGACGCGATCAGATCTACGGCCGTGGGGTCTCCAGGAGATGATCTGTACACAAGCAGGGATTGGATCAAAGCCGTTCAGTTTTACTCTTCCATCTTTCAGGATCTGATCGCGGACGGTTATCTGTCGCCGGAATCGAAGACGCTGTGTGTAGAAACGGCTTTTGGGCAAGAGGTTTTCTCACTCAGAGAGATTGGAGTTAAGAACTCCGTTGGGATCTCGAAGAAAGCTTTTCGACCGTTGGTGGTGAGAGGAGAGGGACATGCTATTCCCTTTGAGATAAACACATTCGATTTCGTCTTCTCCGGTGGTGGTAGACTTGGGAAATCGTTGAAGCAGTTGGAATTCGCCGAGGAGATTACTCGAACGCTGAAACCCGAAGGGTTTGCGGTGGTTCATGTTGGTGCTACAGATACGTACAGTTTCAATTCATTCCTTGATTTGTTTAATTCTTGCAAATTGGTCAAGATGCGTGATATAGATGGTTTTGATTCTTCAATGCCTCATATCAGAGAATTTGTTATTCAGAAATACTCAGAGATTGATGTTCATCACCGGAAGAATTCCGGTGGTAAGTGCTGGATTCCGGGTTACAAAAGAGATTTGGTTCGTGATGCAGAGCCAATCCTCAAAGAGGAGCCTCTAAAGCCATGGATTACCCTCAAAAGGAACATAAAGAATATTAAGTATCTTCCTTCTATGGTAGATATACGTTTCAAGAGTAGATATGTATATGTTGATGTTGGTGCTCGAAGCTACGGATCGAGTATTGGGAGTTGGTTCAAGAAAGAGTACCCAAAGCAGAACAAAACTTTTGATGTTTTCGCCATTGAAGCTGACAAAACCTTTTATGAAGAGTATAAGATAAAGAAGAAGGTGCAGCTATTGCCATATGCAGCTTGGGTGAGGAATGAGACATTGTCGTTTGAGATCAATCACGATCCGGGAAAGGAAGTGGAAGCGAAAGCAAAGGGCAGGGGAATGGGGAGAATCCAGCCGGTTATAAAGAACTCAGGCGATGATTCCGCTGGAGAGGTGAATTTGATTCAAGGGTTTGATTTCGCAGATTGGTTGAAGAAGAATGTGAGAGAGAGGGACTTTGTTGTGATGAAAATGGATGTTGAAGGAACCGAATTCGATCTAATCCCCAGGCTTATCAAGACAGGAGCAATTTGTCTAATCGATGAGTTGTTCCTTGAATGCCATTACAATAGGTGGCAGAGATGTTGTCCTGGTCAAAGGAGCCAAAAGTATAACAAGACTTATAATCAATGCTTAGAGCTCTTCACTTCGCTCAGACAAAGTGGGGTGCTTGTCCATCAATGGTGGTAATGGTTAGGATGCTGCATAAATCTTCTTCTTTTATGCTTGGGTGAATTTCAGTTTCGCCAATCTATAAATGTACTTTCTTCTTCTAGAATATAAAGCGGATATTGTAGGTTTCTATTAAAAAAAAATATACTCTTGTCTGTGCTAAAATATCCTTTTTACTGTAAGAAGTTTAGTTTATAATGGAAATTTGAGTTTCTTTCACTATCACGACTGTCGCTCTTCTTTAATTTTCTGATAGTGTGTCTTGCTTCTGGTCTATATGCATTGAGGAGAAGAACACACATTGTTTGTGTTTGTTTTTCTGGAATTTTGCCTCTCTTAGATATTGTAATCCAGAAGAATTTTCAAAGTGATGTCCCAGGATCTTCTTCAGAGTCAAGCCTGTAAATGAAGCAATGCAAATGCCTTGAATCAGGTATGTTCGTCTTTCCCTTTGCTCTTGTCATTTTAGCTTCGTAAAACGATTTCCCAGGTGGGTTTTTATGCCAGGCTTAGTTTCTATGGAGAGTATGGTTCATCTAAATTGTTAACATTAGTTTTCGAAACTGTAGTCTTGACTCCTGACCTCTTAGTTAATCTTGCTTACAAACCCATATCACAACCTAAATTTTTAATAAGAGCCGTATTGTGTGCTTGATATGAGAAATTGAGAATAAACAAGAAACAGAGAATTGTTTATTTAGATTTGGTATTTTTTTTTTCCTTGTTCGTTAAGTGTTTGTTATCAAAACTGAAGAAATGATTTGGTGAATGAGAAATTGGATTTTATTTCGCTGTGGATTGTTGTAAATAAAGAGCTAGAGGAGGAAAATCTATTGAGCCAGGTAATTTTTTTTATCGGTAATCTTTCTTAGTATCCAATTTTGGATGATGCTCATGTAGATTTCCTCTATTTTTAGACAGAGATTAACAAACATA